TAAAGGAACTGCGGCCTCTGTTAAATAGCAACCTTTCAGCTGTCCAATTGTACACTGTATAGTGCACAGTAGGTCCTGTAATTTGATTTTTAGTTTATTTTGGTAGTTTAATTTTGTTTAGTTTACCATGTCTTTGCCCTTTCTTACTTATTTCAAGTCTTAACATTGCACATTAATATAATTTTCTATGTAGGATATATAATACATTTTTTGATATTTAATTTTATTTATTATTTGAGTTTTTATTAGATTTTGGTTAGTACTTTATAATTGTCATTTATTCTGTTTGTATTTTACATACATTTTTTGTAGATTTGTAGACATTATATAAATATTTGTTATAGTATTTAGTATCTATGTGTTAGGTATCAAGTTTCACTTTTGATCACTTCACGTAAGTTTAATAGAATGGTTTGTTTTAGTAGTTATAAATTTCATCTTGTAGTTCAATGGATTTTAAATTAGTTTTAATATATGTGACAGTTAATAAGTTTTATTTGTATTGATCACTTTAAGTGCGCTTAAGTGTTGTTGTTTTTTAAGCTTTTTCCTTTCTTTGATAGGCAATTATATTCAGTATGAGTTCTTTGTTTACCAGCTATTTGACTGTGATTTCTGTTTTTTCTTTTAGATCTGATGATGAATACGAGAAGTATTCGAAACGTTGTTTTTTAAAGTAAATATTCTGATACAAGATGTTCAGTATATCCCTGGTTTTCCTATTCATCTTAAAATTAAGATTCCCGAAGGGAACATCGATCATAAACAATATCTTAATTACGGGTAAACCTTATAAATAAAAATACGAAGTTTATCTGACATTTACAATACATTTCAACTCCAGTAAACAATCTCCACAGTGTCATCAAACTCCGTTTCAGATTAAAGCAACATAATTAGTACAGCATGCGAGAGCAGACTTGATATTATTACACAATCTTATCGTTTAACAACAGTAAAATTGAACCAATAGCGACTGTGTATGGAATGAACAAAATATAAACTGCAGCAAGCAAAAAAAAAGTCCATGTTTTGTACTATTTACTTTCCAGAGGATCCGATAAAGAAAGCTACAACCAAACCTAACCTTTTCTAGGTCTAGTATAAAATATATGTACTAATTTAGGCATAAACTTGGTATATAAGATCTAGAATTGCTCATTTATATCTAAGATTGCTTAATTTGGCTCAAGACAAATTGGGTAAGGTTTATTGTTAATCTGTTTCATTTTTAGTCCTACCTTTTAAAATTTCAACAGTAGAAAACCCACCAAATATAATAATATTACTTTATATTTGAGAAAAACGTTTATTTTTTATAGTAAGTAAAAGATGCCGTCTGCTGAATAAGTCAAATGCTGAAGTTAAAATTTATGTAAGTCAGTATTTGACTTATAGCTCGGGCTGGCCGCCCTATACTTGAAATGATAAACGGAGCTTCAAATGATTGAAAATGTAAATAAATAGTGTCTGTATTTTTGTGACATAAAATTTATGGGACTGTATAATAACTGTATAAATTTATTGGACTTGTAAACAAATTTATTGGACTGTATAATAGTTTTGAACTTGGAAATAAAATTAATTAAATAGGTAGTGAATTATATCCACAGATAACTAAGAAAATTGTTGTAAAGACACACAAATCATACAAACAAATTATGCTTTGGTGTGGCATTGGGCTCAAGACCTATCAACAGCGGGAGGATTCATTATGCCTCTATGGTATAGAAACTGGCAATGATATTCCTCAAACTTTGTTGTGATCTTTGCCTAAGACAGCTTAGAAAAGACGTCTTGAAGATACCTGAAGGCTGCTGACTTATGAAACAATATGTCACATCTCTCTTGTGCAAATGTCTCTCTAAGCTATCTTAATTACGCAAAAGTCAAATCAAACTCTTGAAATTTAGCCATTTTATATACTTTGGAGGCATAATAAATAACAAAATAACACCACTGTCACGTTACCCCCTTTGTAACACGGCCAAAGGGACCCATGTGTACATATACTGAGGACCACCAACTCACCTTTGGTCTCCTAAGAGCAGTGCAGTAGAGTGTAGATTCACATGACGTCCGTCTACCGGCTTGTTCTCCTGCCTCTTGTAGGCTCTCCGGTCTTCAGCACCATCGTAGAACGTAGTAGGACGCAAGCAAACAAGTAATCTGTTGGGGTACTATACCCAGTGATCTTGATAATCGATAACTGCAATTAAACGAAGCTGTGAATGTAGCCATCAGAAAAAGGTGAGGCTATGTACCCCTAATGAATTATTAAAAAATTACTATGTACTCTTAAATTCAGAATTACGGTAATAGGGGTAGTAGGAGAGGAAAATATCAGTGTTCAGTGAGGATCCACAAGGTCTTCTCTGAGTACTCTTTATTTTCTTCTCCGATGCTATGGGGTCCCTACACTTGCACCAGAGGCGGTACCCCTTCTAGGTTTCATATTATATTATATATATAAAATAAACCAAGACACCAAAGTACCCGAACATAACAGAAGTTTCTGAAGCACGCACAGAAACCAAAATACGGGGAAAACAACAACCCAACCTGAGGACAGAGTAACAAGGCAGAACATAAAGAAATAACAGGAACAAATGAAAACGAGACGGGTGGGAACAGAAAAAGAACACAACACAATGAGGAAGAAATACACCCACATACCCAAACAGAACAGAACTCTGAAAACACAGGACACACAGTGCAACATAATTACAAAAGGAAAAAAATACCTAAACCCACACCCTCCGTAACACACACGAAACGGCAAAGTCGGGGACACACAGAAGAACATGTGGACCTATACACAGAACACCTGATGTGTAAGGTATAAATAATTCACATAAACAGAAACATAAAAAGCGCCATATCAAAACAAAACTACACAACAGGAGAACATGGAAAAACAAGAGGAACAACATAAATTCAAAACAAAAAAACATACAATCTAAACACAACAGAAACAGCCGCGAACTAACTCAGTAATATGCATATTTTTCCTGGAAACAAACTCTTAGTATATTTCTGACAGTACACATTCCACAGATCCCAGTGAAAACTTTATTCCAACGAATATTTAACATAGTCCCAAACCGCTCAAAACAGGAAGTTAAAAGACCGTCCTTAAACTGGAAAGGGGCACCACATAGGTCTAGGCAACACTGAGGTTTACTACACTGACATATCCGGCATCACCCGGGAGAGGGAAAACACGCCCTTCACACTGCAGGAGAAACGCCTGAAAGGCAGCCTAGTGGTGGAACTTATGATGGAACGCTTCACTGGACGCCGATACGTCTCCATCGCAACTCAACGGGCACACCACGCCCGCACAGGGCATAACACCACCACAGCTGGCAGGGACACCCGCCTCGCACAGTCAAATAGCCGGTACTGACCTGGGGGAGAGGGTCAGACGGGTGTCAAGCCACTTGCAACAAGGACCGTTGCCATAATTAATGACTTTCCGGTCGTTCTTACTCGCACCCCGTCCCTTCCTCTTGGCGCGACATTTCTCATTGCGTCACTCGTCGTTGTGACAAGCTTCTTATTTGCCACTCTGACCCTTGCGCTGGTCCAGAAACACTGCTACTCCTGCCAGAAACGCTTTGTGTATTAATGGCTTAAGTAAATATGCATACTCTCTGACAATTATTAAACCACTGTATCATATTATCCTGAACATTGTATTTTGTAAACTATTAGTATTATTATGGTGACCGGGTGTAGAGGCACTATAGTTCACTGTACAAGGTTTGTGGCCCTAAGTATCTTGAGGCAACCAATAGAGTTAAATGTCTTGTGCAGGAAAACTATCGTGTTAACACTGTCGAGAGGGGCAGAAAATTCAGTGGCCATTGGAGTAATCATCCCGAAACTTCTCTTTAAGTCACTGCCTAGGCCTTTCCTGTGTCCCACGAGCTCTCTTGAGTCTCCTCCTCCGTCTGGCTCCGTCGCACTGTGCTAAATCTTGGCAAATTATGGAATGACTCGCAGCACGTCCTTCCTGCTCCAGCACTCAAGTTGCAGTGAGGGGCCCAGGAGTCACGCGACCTCAGGTCACATTCCGATTGATAGGCCGATAAGAAACAACCAGATATCACACACAGACGGGGTCCCGTGGCCTGGCTGTACTCTGCTGATCGCGAAAATCTTCCCTGAAGCGACAACACTACCTGTCGCCATATTTGAAAATTCACAGCTAGCCTATTTCTTTAAAATTCACAAATATCAAACTGCACAATATACATTCTAACAATTGAAATTTAACTAAAAGTTGCTTTGGACCGTCTTACATATTTTTGAAGGCGTATGTATGACCCTTGAAAGCTGGAAGTGTTATGTCAACGACACCATAACACTACTTAGGAACAAAAATTGTTACATTGTTATTAAGGCCACCACAATAGCCTATGAACAACCAGCATATATAGTTTAGCTCTGAACATAGCCCTAGACTAAAGCAAGCTTTCACTGTATATACACCAAGAATAGGGGGGGGGGTATACATTTATGTGTACTTGAATAAGTGTAATTCAGACGCCATTCCTTTACATTTACAGTCATCTCTAATTGATAAATTTGTGCTAGCCTATGCCAGCGCTGGGCAACGGTCCAGCTTTACAACCAAGAGCTCATTAGTGCTAATGTATCCCTAAATACAGCATTAATATATATATATATATATATATATATATATATATATATATATATATATATATATATATATATATATATATATATATATATATATATAAAGCTTTTAAACGTATCTTTACATCATTGCCTACAATATTTTTTCGCGTTTTTTATGTAATTCCGAGCAACTACTGAATAATAAACTTCACTCGTAGCATCAATTTTAATCTCCTGTACCGATTCCAAAAATCCATCTGGGGGCTCCAGTCCAGTCTCTCCAGTCAGACATTATTTCACATGCAACATTCCCTCGTCACAGTGAAAGCAGGAGACTGCCAGTGATGGGGGCGGCGTCATATAAGACAGACAGCCAGCCGCCGACACCAGCAGACTGACAAGTCTAGGGAACACTGCCGGATCTTCGCCAGCACCTGCAGACTTGATCCGCCTAAACACTCTTACTTGGTAACTGACATATGACACATTACCAGCTGATGGTGCATGTTGACACCTGGCGATGAATGTTAACATTACCAACTGGTGATGCATTTTGACAGTAACAACTGGTGGTTGCACGAAGCTGTACCACTGCGTGAACCACTTTGAAATACACCGTGATTGTTACAATAGCAGCCTCTTCCAATTCGACAGGTGCTGATATTCAGTCAAATATTATGGTACGTAGCTTTCGCATTACGATTCATACCTTTGGGTTTAAATAAATTTACTGTCCAATGACAAAAAAAAAAGTTTTTGAAGAGTTTACAAATTATAAATTCAATACTTAATTGGTAATATATATATAGATATATTATTTTATTAATAACATTTAATCATTTAATTTTCAATAATTTAAATAATTCAATAATTTAAACAAATATTCATTATTCTTATTTCATTATTATTCATTTCATTCAATAATTTAAATAATTATTAGTTATTTGTATTGATGTTACAAATAACGTAATTTGGCTAAACTCTAGAGTATAGGCTGGGCATAATTCTTTGGAGAATGTTTGCACGTTGATATTGATGTGAAGTACACTAGGGATTAAGACAGATCCAGAGGGGGGTTTGTTATGTAATGGATCTTTGTCACACTGGTTCTACATTGATTGATAAAGATTAAGACACCCAAGAGGTGGCATGGGCATGAATAGCCCGTAAGGTTCTAAATGCCGTGGTCCTCCAATTAAATGTGACATAGGTAAGGTGGGTTCTTCTTGCAGGGTGCCTTCAGTAGTCTACCCTTCGTGTCATATGGTTGTGGTAGACTGCTTTTAGTGGTTACATTCAGTAGTCTTCCGCTTGGTGTGACATTTATTATTTCTGGTTATGTAACAATATCAAACAAACCCCAGATTTTCTGAAGCACAAAAAGAAATACGAAATATCGATGTTGTTTACATAAATTGAAGAAATTTACTCCAGTAAAATGATAAAAGAATTTCAGTGGAATAGTTGAGAGAACGATAAAATATCCGAGTCAAAATAAGGTATTTATATGCCGGTAAGCGTATCCCATTCGTCGGTGTATATGAACGGTGTATGTTCTGAATTGTGTTCAATCCTGAAGTATACTCACTGGTTGGCCAATGAGCTACTGTGGTGGCCTTAAATTATATCCCTCGAGAGGTTGATTGGTCTTAAGCCCAACACCAAATCAAACCGAGTTAGAAGCTTGTAATTGTAATGCGTCCTAAAACTTCCTAAATTTTTAAATACTAATTGTAATCCGAATATTTAGGCTATGAGCAACCGGACAGAAAATGAAGGCGCGGACTCATAAGGGTTGCAAGAAACATTTATGACAGTTGTTCGTCGAGCGTCCCAGTATTATTGTCAGCTAATTATATTGATCCTTTACCAAATCTAGGTATATTTAATCGGTTCTTAAATTATAATCCTTGTATCTCTTCATGCCCGTTTGAAAGCGGGTGATGTCGTGAGCATCTTAGATCCCTGTTCGTGTCAGCCATTACTAAATAAGAGAACTATCTTATGTGTCTTTTTACTGTTGCAGAAGCTGTGGTTCCCGGTGGTGGTTGGGGTGGCGTTGCTGTGTGTGATGGTGGATGGCGTGGAGGAGACAAAGGAAGTCGCAGCAGCAAAAATTGGTGTCGTTGGGTCGTGGCTGGAGTTTCTCAAATCTTACTGGCATCATGACCATGAAACCCGCCCCCAGGACAGGTATGCCCGACGCACACACACGAGTTACAAGGTTAAAAAGAGTTTAACATCACTTCACTCGAAGAGAGAAGCAACAGACAAGACATGATCATGATCATACAACGTTTCCACTACAGTTAACAAGGGCAGACTATTTAGCATGGGTGGTACACGTATTAGGGGGGGGGTCACATATGGAGTTTGAGTACCCTAATGATATCCAGATACATTAGTAAGACATTTGTCGGTGTCAGGAATTGTGATTAAATTAAATGATCTAAGTAGTAAAGTGGTGGAGGTGCACTCCATACACAGGTTCAAATGTAGATGTGATAGAGCCCGATTGATTGATTGATGAAGATTAAGCCACCCAAAAGGTGGCACGGGCATGAATAGCCCGTAAGTGGTGGCCCTTTTGAGCCATTATTAGTATCGAGAGCTGATACTGGAGATCTGTGGAGGTGCGACTGCACCCTACGCGACGGGAGATGTCTCCCATGTGATAGAGCCCGGTAGGCTCTGAAATTTATATTCACCAGGACACATGAGCCGTAGCCAATCCCCCTGCTATTAAAAATAAGTGACTACAGCCTGGACCAGGATTCGACAAGCATTTATATATCTACTTACGAACCTGTACATCATTTCTAAATTGCTGCGGCTTTGTTTACATTTATTCAACACTTTACGAGCATTGAAACTTCCCAATCGAATGTTATTAATGTTACAAACAGCCTCCAAATGTTTCGGAGTTCATAAACTTTGAATAATTGTAAACAAAGCCCCAAAGATTGAGAAAAGATATATCGTAAGTAAATGTGAAAATGCTTGTTGAATCCTGGACCTGGTAAGTAAACACACTCACATTTAATAACCATAATTAAGTAATCGATGAACTGGCATGTAAACATTATACCTGACCCCAGTTGTGGCAATATAAAGAACGACTATATTAGGTCTGTGTTACTTTGAGAAAGGCGGTGCCCCCAATTAGGCGCTGCGCAAAAGGGACCTTAGTCTCACAAGGAGTTCAGTAAAGGAATCCTTAGCCACAAAAGGAGTTCAGTAAAGGGGATCCTTAGCCACACAAATAGTTAAGTAAAGGCTTCCTTAGCCACACACTGCATTCAGTAAAGGCTTCCTTAGCCACACACTGCATTCAGTAAAGGTTTCCTTAGCCACACAATGCTTTCAGTAAATGATTCCTTAACCACACACGGCGTTCAGCAAAAGGTTCATGAGCGACACAAGACATCTTTATTCCATATTATTCCCATGCTATTATTTTATTATTAACATCTTTATTATTTAACAGGGACGACCGGACTGGCAAGAACATGGACTACAACTACTACGAGACACCAATGACAGAACTAATAGACAGCGACAGTCCAGGTTTCAGTATGAGTGGCGTCTTGAATCACACAAAGAACTGTGCTCATGTTTATTCTGCTCTGGCTGTGGCCTCCGGAGCTTTCGCATTGAAGTACGGTCTCTGTGTCTTCAAGGGCTCGTGTCCAGGCGCCGCTGTTACACTCACCGAGACCGCATATACCACCACTACAATTCCCACTACGTACGCCTTCACCACCACCTACACCTCAACCGTAGTCCCTACCACGGAAACCCTCACCATCCTCACTGTCATCACACCCACCATGTACAGTACCTCCACCGTAACCTCCACCGTAACCTCCAACAGCTATTCCTACTTCACCACCATCACCACCACCATCACCAAAACCTACGTAACGACCATCATCTTCTCTCCAGCCGTGACTTTCATGACCACAACCACTCCCACCACCACAATCTCCCGCACCATCACAAGCACCACCAGCAGCACACGCACCATCACCACTACCCTCATACACGCCTCCACTACCATAGTAGTTCCCCTACATTTTGAATGACGCGTCTCCCAACATCACCTTAGGGAGCCGGTCGGCCGAGCGGACAGGACACTGGACTTGTGATCCTGTGATCCCGGGTTCGATCCCGGGCGCCGGCGAGAAACAATGGGCAGTTTCTTTCACTCTATGCTCCTGTTCCCTAGCAGTAAAATAGGTACCTGGGTGTTAGTCAGCTGTCACGGGCTGCTTCCTAGGGGTGGAGGCCTGGTCGAGGACCAGGCCGCGGGGACACTAAAACCCCGAAATCATCTCAAGATAACCTCAAGATAACCTATCGTAAAAAAAAACCGCGTATCATTAAGAAGAAGAGACCCATACTGGGCCACACGGAACATTCTCTTTACAACCAACCATAAAGTATCACTCACGGAACATTCTGTATACAACCAACCATAAAGTATCACTCAGATCATTTCTAGACATTTGTTCAAATGACTAAATACATTTAAGAGACACCATTTACCAGAATGTTTCATTCCTAAAGCCTTTGAAAATTTATTCCCATGTGTATCATCTCAGGTGAAGCTGTACATTATAAGGCAGGTGAAGCTGTAAGTTATTATGCAGGTGAAGCTGTACGTTATTATGTAGGTGAAGCTGTTTATTATAATGCAGGTGAAGCTGTACATTGTAATGCAGGTGAAGCTGTACACTATAATGCAGGTGAAGCTGTAAGTTATTATGCAGGTGAAGCTGTACACTATAATGCAGGTGAAGCTGTACACTATAATGCAGGTGAAGCTGCACATTATAATGCAGGTGAAGCTGTACATTATAATGCAAGTGAAGCTGTACATTATAAGGCAGGTGAAGCTGTACATTATAATGCAGGTGAAGCTGTACATTATAATGCAGGTGAAGCTGTACACTATAATGCAGGTGAAGCTGGTCTCGCTAGGACAAAGGACATCGTCAGGAGATATCAACCCATACTCCTATAAATTACGTCGCTTTTCGCGAGAAAATCTTGAAAGAGATTATACATAGGAACTGCAGCATACAGGCTGGCAGGATGAGTATGGGGTGCACAATAAACTACCGTTCACAGGATGAGTATGGGGTGCACAATAAACTACGGCTCACAGGATGAGTATGGGGTGCACAATAAATCCGACACCCTTAACAACACTACAGTTTGTCACAGATCTATTTAAGGAGTCTGCAGGATTTAAGTACCATTTAAGATATCTTCCTTAAGCTGTCTAAGGCAAAGGTCAAAGCAAAGTTTGAGGAGAATCATAGCCATTTTCTGTACCTAGGAGGCTTAAGCAACTAGAAAATAACAACCCAGAGATAACAACTAAAAATCTGCAACATTGGGTAATCTTTCAAGTCAAACCAGAAAATTTAAGCCCATGGGGGTCTTCTAAAATTCACTATTCCAATTCGCTGAACCTTGTGTAAAGATCACATCTGTAGATTAATTCACTAAAAAAGGTTCTAGTTTTAGTTTTACATAAAATTAGCAGAGATGTTAGAGATGTCGCAAGGGCCCATACCAATATCCGGTGAAAACTAGTCCACCAGACGGAGCAAAACAAGAATTCCGGTACATGTCTTAAGAAAAGTCTAGCATGTGCTAGGATCCATCACCAGGCTTTCCCGTAATCACGTCCACCGATTACAAGAGAAAGTCCCCACCAACGCTGACGAGCCTAGTAGTAGGCATCCTGCAGTCTCGGAAGACTATGGAGTTGCGCTCTGGTTGTCGAGGCTGGAGTGTCCTCTCCAAGGCGCAATGCCTGGGTAGGTCGATATGGAGGAGAAGCTGTTACCCCATGCAGCAGGTCCCTCTCTCCTCGTTGCTGAAGTTTTCCAATGGAAAGGCAAACGCCAATACGCTTGGTTCCAGCGCCGTCACAGGAGCTGCCAGAATAAGGTTGAAGTCAACAACGAACTGCCTCAGAGGCTCCAACCCCGGATTTTTCATCAAGGTTGACTCCTGAAGCTCGTCCAAAAAGTGGGTGTGGCCGCGAGGCACCAGAGGTTTGAAAAATCAGAGTTTTCCTTCCCCTGGATGAGCTGCCTTCCCCGTTCTGTCGAGTCCCATCTACCCGGATCAGCTGGTTGTAAGGGGCCAGAGGTACGAGCTCACGTATGAGGACGAAGACCTGAAGGGCCGCCCCTGGTACTACTCCTGCAGCAGGCTGGTAGCCTCGCTGAGGGCCCTGCAGGACCTCTCGAAAGAGAACTGGGAGTCCCCGGGTAATACCATGCACTACAACACACAACTCAAATATTATAATAATAATAATACCCTAGAGAGTAAATAATCCTCCTGAAAACAGAACTGGAGGGAATTTCCCTAGAAAATTTACTACAAATTTCCATCCAGCACCACCACATTGTTATACAGTGGACACCCGTTAACGATCCCAACCTCTACATATGCACAATAAACTTGCCACTGGCGGCAACAATAAATAAAGTCCACATAGAATGCACACCAAAGCCCCTTATCCAGCAAATAAACGACGATGGAGTAACGGGGGATCATCATCGCTAACGTTGACCAACGTCATTTGCTTGCTGGGTTATCAATGGAGGTGTTTATGCACTAAGAAAACGGAGGCCCCAAAAACACACCCCCATGGTTACAGTAATTCACCAGAAAGCAATTAGGTGTCAACTGAGGTCGTGAACACAGTGGAATACTCAAAATGAGGTACGGTAAGACAAGGTGGAAGCTTCAGCTAACGTCTCTCCGGAAGCTCAGCCGGAGAGACGTTCTGGAATGTGCCACAAGAGCAGATCATTTTGTTGAACTCAAAAGACAGTTTCTACGCACAATACGAGAACTATGAGGAAGAAAAGTCATTACATTAACTGACAAGGAGTTCGATGGCCTTCGACACTATTCACTCATACGCTAAGGAGTTCTAAGTAACAGCCCCAACATAATTGGGTTTAAGGGATACCTAGGTGGACCTATGATCAAATTTTTTCGTTACCCGTTCCTGTTCTGGTAAAGGCCATATTGTTCTCCATCTTCCTGCCCCCTCTGTTGCAGGAAGAATGGAGAATGTAAAATGTTCCCGCCCCTTTCACAATAGTGTGAACAATAAGCTCATAAAATACTGATGCAATACGATAGGATCGAACTCAATTTCTTGATATTACCAGACAGCGGCGTTACTTGCTCGACTGTGGAGATAAGTGTCAACTATAGATGTTCAACTGAGCAAACATGAGGTGAATTCAACATGCACTGACAAGGTAGACGTGTAGAGAACAATACTCCCACAACCACGCTAGAAGTGATTAACAAAAATATTATTGTGGGTACCCGCAAGTAGTGTATTTGTATGCTTATACTCGTCTCGCTCCTCCATTTTCCTTCCCTCGTCACAGGTGAAAGCCGAAGACTGACAGTGATGAGGGCAGCGTCATATAAGACAGACAGCCAGCCGCCGACACCAGCAGACACACAAGTCTGGGGAACACTGCCGGACCTTCGCCAGCACCTGCAGACCTGACCCGCCTCAACGCTCCCACTTGGAAATTGTCATATGACACACTACCAGCTGGTGGTGCGTGCTGATATTGTCAGCTGGTGATACAAGTTGACATTGCCAGCTGGTGGTACAAGGGACAGTTCCACCATGCATCACTAAGTAACACAGCGCGAGAGGAAGGATACGAAGCTTGTCCAACTTGACTGAGGCTACTGATTAATGATATCATGGTAAAGTCTTTCTTATACTACGATACCTACATTTGATTAAAATACAGCTACTCTATGATGAAACATAAATAAGCTGCAAAAGAGCATAACGAATCAAATGAAATGGAAAGAGGAAAATTAAAAAGTAAAGAGAGGAGGGAAGGAGGGAATAGGAGGAAGAAAAGAGGGAGAGTAAATAAAGAAATAAGAGAAAGGGAAAGATGCATATATTGTTGCCAAAATATGTAATGTAAAACATATTTTGCGTAAATTGTGCAATATTCCATATAATATTGATTTATCTCAAGCAGATGTTGAACACATTTCTTACAAGAAAACGTGTTTATCAACTTAAATTAATCTGCTGCTGGGGATATGCTTGTCTACTCAAAGACACATTCATTCTTTGATTAAAACAATGCAGAATCAAGAGTTTTTATGATAATGTTGGTTCAAAACATGATGGTCTTGTAACCAAATAGTGTCAATATATTTGAGGATTGTTCTCGCCTAATTTGGTTTGGTGTTAGCTTAAAGCCTATCGACCGTCGAGGGGAGGAGGGGTTATTAAGACCAAAATAGTTTACTGACCAACCGTATGCTTTATACGGATGGTCGGTAAACCAAGTATACCTTAGTTCTGGACACAGTCCATGACTAAAGTTAACTCTAAGTGAATATACACCGAGAACTGGGTTACAGATCTGTGTACATATCTTTAGTCACTTATGTTTACAAAATTAATTGTAAAAACATGAAATTGTTTTGAGTCCAACAGTTCATATTGATACAAATAGTTACTATAGAGGTAACGATTTGTATCAATATGTACTGATACAAATAATTACCTCTATATTTAAGAGTTGAGCGAAGAGAATCAATAGGAAACCTGTGTGTAGTGTGCAGGGTTACAGTGATGATGGTCGTGTGTAGTGTACATGGTTACAGTGATGAAGATAATAATTCAATTATGAATTATGTAGAGTGTAGAGTGATGAAAATGTAGAGGACCGTGGTTACAGAGAAGAAAACAGATCAATGACCTTCCAACTGCTCGACATCAGGATTAGCTAGTCACTAACCTTCCAAGCATCTGCCCGACATGGTTTGCTAATCACAGGGATCCCAACTATCTATATTTTTGGGCTGCCAATTACCGCCCTCAGCGATCAGTTGGTCACAGAGCATAACGAAAGCGTCATTTACTATTGCAGAAGCTGTGGCTGCAGGTGGTGGTGGTTGGGGTGACGGTGGTGTGTGTGATGGCGGAGGGCGTGGAGGAGACGGAGGAAGTGGCCGCAGCAGAGGCTAGGGCCTTGCTGGAGTTCCTGCTGGAGCTCTGGCCTCACAACACTAACACCAGCCTCCGGGACGCTCATGGCGACAGTACTAGGTACGTATAATCTATTACACCAAATTCGTTCTCTTGATTTGCTACAACGTACATAATACACAGTTCT